TCCTGAAAGGCCAAGTCGTAGCTGCTACAGTCCCGAAAGGCCAAGTCCACAGGCTTCCGGAAGGTCCGGAAGTGGCCTTTCGAGTTTCTTCTCACCTTTTACACAGTAGGCCAGAGGCAAGTGGGCAAGTGGTGCGTCCAACTTCGCTTAGTCAGCGGTACCCAGTCCCAGTCTCACTTTGCACAATCAGCAAGTACCATGAGGGACTGTGTGCACCATCGGCCCTGTGGAAAGAGGCAGACCAACGAGCTACAGAAGTATATAAATCAAGAGGCAGCGCCCAGCCATTCATTGATTCTGCGGGGTGCCATGCGGAAGCGCTGCCCGAGCGTTTGTGCGAGGTGGTCTGCAGGAGCCCAAGGTCGACGTGGGCAGAGGGGAAGTTAGCTGTTAGTGGTAGAGTTAGCAGGCGGCCATAGTCGCCAGGTTAGTAGTAGCAGTGTGTGTGTGTGTGTGTACAGTGAGTGTGCGCGTGTGGGGTATTCAGGGTGATCCAGAGTGGAGTGCGTATGTGCGACAGTGTTGGACACAATGACGACAGTGGATGTACACGGCGCCTGTGCACCATAGCTTGTGGGACGAAGTTTGCATCTGAACTGTGTTCGCGACTTCCATATCTTTGAGTTTTGAGTGGGCGCCTAGCGCCAGCCTGTTTGCCATCTGTTGTATGCATGCAAGTTGATGAATAAAGAGAGTCTGATTGCATTGGTATCGGAGCTGGTCCCCTTTACTTCGCGCGCCATCGTTGTCAGGCATCATAGCTGAGCTGCGCCAAGAAGAAGGAAGGTTCAACATAGCCGCACCGTCGAAGAAGAAGACTGTCCGCCGTAGCTGTGCTGCGGAAGAAGACGAGTAAGGAGGGAGGAGAGACGAGATAGGAGGAAGAAGCCATAGCCGAGGAGGAAGAAAGGAGGGACAACGAAGGTGAAGGCGGACATAGCCGAGGGTGACGAAGAAGAAAAAGGTGAGGGAGAAGAAAGGTGGCGAAGGTGAGGGAGAAGACGACGGCAGCCATAGCCGAGTTGGCCGACGACCTTCACGTTGACCAAGGAGTTGACTGATCGTTGACCGGAGGTTTGACCAGTGCTGACCAGCGTTGACCAGGCGTTGACCGGAGCTGCTGACCACGAGATTGACCAAGCTGGAGTTGGTATATTCTCGCCAAGCCTTCAGCCTATTCCCTTGCCCTATGGATGTGCACTTACCCCATGGTTTTTGCTGAGTGTGTCTGTCTCTTCTTTCTGCATTGAGTCTCTTTTGTCTAGGTGATAGGAACTCCGTGGATGAAGGATAGAGCTGCGTTGACCAAACCCACACGGGCTGAGTAGGGCTTAATTCCGTGTCTGACAACCGACACATCCCGGAGGACAAACCCTCCCAAGGACTGGTACTGACCGGCGGGCTGAACGGTGTGGCACGGGCGGCCCAAAATCCGAGTTGTGGGCTGCACAACCAGCTGTCTAAGTGTTGAGAGGACTTGCTGATCGCGTCGTCCTGTCTGCGACGTTAAACAATTCTTGAGGAGTTATGGGGGATCTCCTTAAATGCCTCTTGATCAGCGAAGAAGTCCTGTAGTGACAGCTTAGAAGTAGGTCTAGGCTAGAGACCATAGCTGACAGAGTCTAAACCAGAGTGAAAGCCAGGTGGGATTGACCGCAGGTGCTGGGCATCTGGGTCTGGTTTGTAAAGGACAGTGGTGGGGAAAGCTTCCCTCGGCCGTGGTAACCTGGCTGGATCGAAGGGGTGAGATTCTGTGGTCCGTAGAGAGTCAGTCAGTCAGTTGAGTGGGTAGGTCTAAGTGGTGAGGAGTGGGACAGTTTTGTCGTGCACCTAGACACCATGGACGACTACCCGATGTATGGCTTGCTCGTGGGGTTCTCCCTCTGGGGGACCCTCTGGCGTCTTCTCTTTCCACTGGGATTCTGGCACACGATTGCGTGTAGAGTAGAGACGAGGAGTGGCGCGGGCACCACTCCTTACACCCAGGCGCAGGAGGAGGAGGCAGCGAAAATTCTGGCCGAGCAAAAGGCCAGGAAGGAGAAGTAGTTGGTCAACCAGGCTAAGAAGATTGCCCTGCAGCAGGAGCAAGCCGCCAAAATGAAAAAGTTACAGGAAGAGATGGAGAGAGTGAAGAAGGAGGAGGAAGAAAAGATGAAGGTCGTGGACACAGAAGAGGTGGAGGAGGAGAAGGAGAAGCAGGCAGAAGCAGAAGAGATTCCCCTGATAAGAAGGTCAGTGAGAGAAAGGGGGGAATCTAGTGGCACGAAGGGGGACCCATGGATAGAGAAGAAGGTGACTTAGTGGGTTGCCAACTTGTCACTGGGGGAAACTGAGGAGGCGATGCTATACGTTCCCCTAGACGAACAAGAGGCGGTGATAAAGGTGATAGAGGCCGAAGCAGATCCTCTTAAACGTCAGACGATAGAGGAGGAGAAGAAGTTGGAATGTAGATTACGTCTGACTAGGGAGAAGAAGAGGAGGATGGAGGAAGCTGAGAAGGTGGCGAGAGAATCAGAAGAAGTCAAACAGCAGAGAGCTCAGCTAGAAGCGCAGGCGGATATACAGGGGAAGATGGATGTAATGGCTAGGAATATAGAACGTTTGGCAAAGGCCGTTGACGAGCAACAGTTCTTTGCCAGAAGCCAGGACGTCACGTTGCGATCGATCCGTCTAGGCTTTCGAGAGTTCGCAAGGGACATGATGGTCCATGTAGGCACGGAGATGAAAGCTAGACTAGAAAACACAGAGCGATTYTGCAYWGGCGCCATTGAAGGTGCCAAGCTAGCTGCGCCTAAGGAGGAAGAACGACGTCCCCGTAGAGAGCCAGTAAAGGTGAAGTTCCCTGATCCATATAGTGGGAAGAGGGAGGAGAACTTCGATAACTGGGAGGCGAATGTGAACTCATAAGTTCACTTACAGATGATTTCCCCTGAGGAACAGGTCCTCATCGCCTTCCACGCTCTTAGGGATGAAGCCGCCAGTTTTGCGAGATCGCTCTGTCGTGCAGCCAACTGCAATAACGACATGGTCGCATACTCTCAGTTTACACCCCTGAACGACTTCTTCAAGTTACTGCGCGAAAGGTTTGCAGATGTCACACAAAGCGTTAGAGCTTCTGACAAGTTGCAGACCATCCACACTCGCCACTGGAAGAGTGCAAGGGCACTCAAAGGTGTGATGGATGAGCTGGTCGCCGTCCCAGACCATGGGGTCACAGAGACCCAGTTGGTCAATCTGTTCTATCGTGCCATGCCTGAGTCTTTACGAGGGCACTTCTTTGACAAGAGTCGGGATCCTGCCATGACCTATGATATGTTATGAAGGGAAGTCGTGGCATTCGAAGCGCAGTCCATGCCAGTTACCACTTTCTGGCATAAGGACTTAGATAAGGGGAAGAAGTGGAAAGGCCGCACCATTTCAGGACAGGTCAAGGGCAAGGATCACCTGATCCTAACTTTAGATGAGGGCGGCATGGAAAAAGTCCCCTACGATCAGATAGAGTGGGGGCTTGAAGAGGAAGAGGGGGACAGTAGTGCAAGCCAGGGGAGGACTACCGCTGCTGTCGCGGCTGGAGGGAGGCCGCAAGGAAGAGGAGGAGACTGGGGTCAAGGGGGCCAGGCTTCAGGTGGTCGAGGGCAAGGCAATCAGGGGGTTGGTGGCAGAGGTAACCGCCAAGCGGGAGGTAGGGGTCAAGGTCCCCCGCAAAACCACTCTTGCTATAATCGGTCATCATATGGAAGAGGAAGATGGCATCCTGGGTTGCCACAAGGTAGAACGTGGGAAGACTTGGGCTTGGAACAGAGTGTTTGGCAGCAGAGGATTGACCGGGATCAGTGCATTTACTGCAGTGACCCTGGTCATATCATAAAGTACTGCCCCAAATATAGGGAAGCCCGAGCAGCAAAAGGCAACCGCCGATAGGGGTGGCAACTGCCCCTATCCTAGGGCCATGCATGGAAGAGCGCGCACAACAGAGAGAAACTCCCAAACTGCATGAGCCCATGGCAGAGGTTGTTGGCCGGTGCCTAGATAGTTGTCCGGAGACTGCTTGTGTTAGAGTCTCTCTAGGCACCTCCCTCACAGGCGTGGCAAAGGAGTTGAAGGAGAGGATGCCCGCCTGGGCCAAGATGAAGAAAGAGGCAAAGGGACAACTAGTATTAGTGGATGTAGAGATTTTTAGAGGCAGAGTAGGGGCCCTTATAGATAGTGGGGCCACGCGCAGCTATATTAGTAGGAAGRCGCTGCAGAAGTTGAAGTTGGGGTTGAAAGTTCRRAAGTTAGARGACCCTATTGTTAGTATCCTCGCAGACAATCGCACAATGCGAATCGAGGAATAYGTAGAGGGAGTCCAGGCATATTTTCGCCTAGAGCAGGATGRAAAGGTAGAGAAGGTCCTCCATTCCTTGACTCTCCTCGTAGAAGACAACCTCCCATTTGACATAGTCCTAGGAATGGACTGGGGAGAGGCAGCAGGGGCCACACTCCATTTGAGAGAGCATGAGTGTAGGCTCCCTAGTCCGTCAGGCGAGGTTAAGACGACCCGCATGTTTCATGTGTCAGGAGTAGATAACTCACTGGCGCATTGCTGTCTCAGTGCTCCCGCGTTCGCGCGATTAGTGAAAGGGGCAGTTAGAGGATCAGGTCTTCGTAGCTTATATCAGACCTGTCACTGAGCCGAAAGTGGACAGCCCCATGGATCCAACCATCGCCAAGCTGCTGGACGAGTTCGAGGATTTAACCGAGCCGCCAACAGGAGTAGTGTCGCGACCGATCCAGCATCGGATAGAGATAGAGCCTGGCAGTAGGACTCTTAAGGGAGCAATTTACAGAATGTCCCCAAGCGAGTTAGAGGAGTTGCGCAAGCAGTTAGACGAGCTTCTCGAGAAGGGTTGGATTAGGCCCAGTTCGTCTCCTTTCGGAGCACCGGTTCCCTTTGTCCCCAAGAAAGAGGGGAAGTTGCGGATTTGTATAGACTATAGGGGTCTTAATGCGATTACAGTGAAGAATGCAGAACCACTTGCCCGTATAGATGATCTATTAGATCGGGTGCAGGGCTGCAAGTACTTTTCAAAATAGATTTGAAATCCGGATATCATCAGATAGAGGTCCATCCTGATGATCAGTACAAGACCGCATTCCGGACTAGATACGGGCACTATGAGTTTATAGTGATGCCCTTTGGACTAACCAACGCGCCAGCTACCTTCCAGCGTAGTATGAACGACTTGTTTAGACCGTGGTTAGATAGATTCGTAGTCGTATATTTGGATGATATCTTAGTGTTTAGTAAGACCCTCCTGGAGCATGAGGGCCATCTGAGGCAGGTCGTGGAGAAGCTGAGAGAAGCTAACTTCAAGATCAACGCGAAGGAGTGTGAATGGGCCAAGACGCAAGTTCTATACTTGGGCCATGTGTTAGATGGAGATGGCATAAAGCCTGAGGATAGCAAAATAGCAGCGATCAAGGACTGGTCGACGCCCCGCACACTAACAGAATTGCGGTCGTTCCTAGGCCTAGCTAATTACTACAGGAAGTTCGTGAGGAACTTTTCTACTATCGCTGTGCCCCTTCGCAGATTGTTAAAGAAAGAAGCAATCTGGTGTTGGGACAAAGACTGTACTTCGGCCCTGAAGAAGCTAAAGCGAGCCTTAATAGAGTACCCGGTCCTCACGGTAGCTGATCCATCACTGCCCTTTGTTGTCACAACTGACGCAAGTCAGTATGGAATAGGTGTTGTGTTGCAGCAAGATGATGGCAATGGGTATAGACCCGTAGAGTTCATGTCTGCTAGAATGCCTTAAGAGAAGGTTGCGACATCTACCTATGAGAGGGAACTCTACGCTCTCAGGCAAGCCTTAGAACATTGAAAGCACTACTTACTTGGGAGGCACTTCAAAGTCTATTCAGACCACGAGACGCTGAGGTGGTTAAAGACTCAGGCCAAGATGACACCTAAGCTTACTAGGTGGGCCACAGAGATAGACCAGTATGATTTTGAGCTCAAGCCAGTGAAAGGAAAGTACAATGTAGTTGCGGATGCTCTGAGCAGACGAGCCGATTACTTTGGGGCAATAGTGCATTACTTAGATATAGCAACAGACCTGCAACAAAGAGTCGAGGAAGCGTATGCGCAGGATCCTATCTATAGCGACCTCCTCAAGAGAGTTAAGGAAGCCCCGGAGACATAACCTCATTACCGCACTACTGATGGGTTGTTGTTTGAGAAGACTAACGTAGTTGACCGTTTGTGCATTCCTAACAGTGAGGAGATCCGTAGTTTGATCCTAGGGGAATGTCACGACACAGAGGGACACTTTGGTTGGCAAAAGACTTTAGCTAACCTCTCATGCGCGTATACGTGGCCGGGTATGAAAGTTGATTGCATAGAGTACGTACGCAGTTGCAAAGTGTGTCAGAGGAACAAGACCACTACGCGAGCCCCTCTAGGTCTTCTCAGACCTTTGCCTATTCCTGACAGACCCGGAGATTCGGTGTCCATTGACTTTATGGATACAGGGGTAAAGGGTAGGCATGGCAAGAGCCAAGTCATGGTTGTAGTTGATAGATTTAGCACGTATGCAGTTTTTGTTGCTTTGCCTTCAGAGGCACGAACAAATTTAGTTATAAGGAAGTTTTTCGATCATTGGGTCAGCGAGTATGGTATACCGCTCTCTATAGTTAGTGATAGAGATACCAGATTCACTAGTCAGAACTGGCAGGAGTTGATGAGAGTTTATGGCTCTAGGTTGCTGCTGTCATCTGGCCGTCATCCAGAGACCAACGGTCAGACTGAGCAGATGAATAAGATCATGCAGCAAGCTCTTAGGATGTACATTAGACCTGATCAAGTCAATTGGGATGAGATGTTGCCCAAGGTAGCCAGTGCCTATAATAACAGCGTGCACTTAGCCACGTGTCGCACTCCCAATGAGCTGCACAAATCCTTTAGACCACGCAGACCGTTTGAGGGACTTAACCGGGATCAGATTCATACGCTACCGCCCAGTACTAGGGAGTTTGCGGTACAGCACGAGAAAGAGTTAGCTACCATTGTTGAGAACCTCAGGAAGGCCCAGCACCGAATGATGGAACAAGCTAACAAACACCGTCGCCTGTCGCAATTTCAAGTAGGCGACCTAGTCTGGGTCAAGTCTAAAGAGTTTGCTCCTGAGGAAAACATTTCGCAGAAGTTACTGCCAGCGTACAGAGGACCGTGGCCAGTTCTAGAAATTAAGGGCGGAGAGGATGGGCCGTCCTACACAGTAGAAATCCCAGCACACCTCCACACCTATCCCGTGTTTCATGCGTCAAAGTTGTTGCCATGTGTCACAAGTCAACAGTTTCCATCAAGAAGATCCATGATTCCTCCGGACATGGATGGAAGGTATGACATTGACAGCATTGTAGGTGAAGACGTGTTTAGAACAGGAGGTAGAGGTCGTGCACAGAAACAGTACAAGCTCCAATTTGCATATCAAGAACCAGAAGACGACCGCTGGTTTACCATAACTGAACTTCTAGAAACAGCTCCCGACATAGTTAGAGCCTACAAGAGAGATAGGAAAGGTAAAGGTCCTGTCTTGGACTAAGTTATTCTCGGAGGACCTCGAATTTAGGCTGGCGGGAGTGAAACGGTATTCACCTGCTAGCAGTAGCAAATGCAGATCCCAGGGCTCGATCCCTAGACTTTACCTTACCTGTGTACATTACCTGTGACGACCCCGAGAGTTGAACCCGTGACCTGTGTAATCGTAACAGTTGGTAGGTTGTCGTAGGGTCTGTAGGTTGTAGGGGTTCGATCTGTAGACCTG